GCGCAGTTCAAGGCCGGCACCAATCTGGCATCCGCAACGCTGATGGCCCTGTACCACCAGCGGCTCACCGGCGAGGGCCAGCGGGTGGATGTATCCATTCAGGAGAGCCTGGCCTCGGCGTTGCGCGACGTTACGAATAACTACACCTACTCCGGCGCTGTGCGACGCCGACAACCCAACCACACCGGAGACTTGACGCGCTTGCGGGCCGTGTCCGATGGGTACGTCCTGCCCAACCCGGGGCTGGGGGCGTCGGTGAACTGGCAAGTAATGGTGGATTTTCTGGAAGCGCCGGCGCTGGACGACCCGCGATTTGACAATCCCTCGGCACGCCTGGAAAACGCGGAGGCGTTGGGTGACATCCTGGATCAGATTTTCGCCTCCAAGCAGAAGCAGGAGATTTTCTACGCCGCCCACGAAAAGCGTTTCATCTACGGCGTGATCGATTCGCCGGCTGAAACCGTTGACAACCCACAGATTCGAGCGCGTGGGTACTACGTGCCGCTGCAACATCCCGGACTCGGCGAGATTACGTTTCCGGGTGCGCCCTTCCTGCTCAGCGACTCACCGTGGCAGGTTGAGTCTGCGGCGCCGTTGTTGGGCGAACACACCGCTGACGTTCTGGCCGGGTTGGGTTATGACGCGACGGGGTTGGCGTATCTGCGGGCGTCGGAGGTGATCTGATATGGCGGGGCCATTGCAGGGTGTACGCATCGTAGAGATGGGCCAGCTAATCGCCATTCCATCGGCGATGAAGTGGCTGGGTGATATGGGCGCCCAGGTGATTCGTCTGGAATCGGTGCAGCGGCTGGAAAGTTACCGCACCGACTCGCTGTATCTGAATGACGTCGACGGCGATTTTTGGAACCGGGGCGCGAATTTCTACGAACAAAACCGTAACAAACTTGGATTGACCCTGGACCTGAGCCGCGATGAAGGCCGGGCCGTGCTGCGCGACCTCATCGCCATATCCGATGTGTTCGCCGAGAACTTCACGCCGCGGGTGGTGCGCAATTTTGGCCTGGAATACGCCGACCTGCGCAAGATCCGTCCCGACATCATCATGGTGTCGTCAACGGGCTACGGGTTCGATGGCCCTTGGGCCAACTTCGGGGCGACCGGCCCGGCCACGGAAGGCGCGGCGGGTTTGGCCTACATGACCGGTTACAAAGACGGCGGGCCGGTAATGTCAGAGATTCCCTACACCGACTACACCGCCGGCGAACATACGGTGGCTGCCGTGATGCTGGCGCTGATGCACCGGCTCAACACGGGCCGGGGACAGTTCATCGACATTTCGCAAACCCAAACTTGCAGCGCCACGATCCCAGAGGCATTGCTGGACTGGACGGTGAACGGGCGGGTGCAACCCCGGCCCGGCAACGAAGACCCGGCGATGTCGCCCCACGGATGCTATCCCTGCGCCGGGGATGATCGCTGGATTGCCATTGCGATCGACAACGATGCGGCGTGGCAGGCGTTGTGTCGTGTGATGCGTCGCGCGGATTGGGCAGCGGATGGTCGGTACGCCGATGTGTTGAGTCGCATCACTCACCGCACAGAACTGGACAGTATGCTGGCCTTTGAAACGCGGCAGCACAACAACCACGCGTTGATGGCGCAGTTGCAGGCGGAGGGCGTCGCCGCCGGCGCGTTGATGGACAGCAAGGACCTACTGTTCAACGAGCACCTGGAGGCTCGTGAGTTTTACGAAGTTATTGAACACCACCCGGCCACGGGGATGCCTCCACTGCCTTACCCCGGGCGTCCTTGGAAGCTGTCGGGCACTCCGGCAATCGATCCGAAAGCGGCTCCCATCATGGGTGAACACAATCAGACGCTGCTGGGTGAGCTGCTGGGCAAGACCGACGCGCAGGTTGCGGAGCTGGCAGCGACCGACATCATTGGGTTTGCGCCGCTGACGCCGCGTGGCGTGCGGCGGCCGTCGCTGGACGAGCAGGTGAGGCAGGGCCGAATGCAGCGGTACGAGACCGATTACGCCGAGCAGATCCGGCGTCGATTCGGGATAGAGTAGGGCCGGGGGTTTACGCCCTCACCCCAACCCTCTCCCATAAAGGGAGAGGGAGTTAAGCATGGCCTTGCGGGTTGTCTGTGGCCGGTTGGCGGTAGCCTTACGACGACTGGCGGGATTCGAACGCGGAGATAGCGTCTTCGTGCTGGAGGGTCAGGCCAATGTCGTCGAGGCCGTTGAGCAGGCAATAGCGGCGGAACTCGTCCACCTGGAAGTCGACCACGATGTCTTCATCGTTGTCGCGGACCTGTTGCGCTTCGAGATCGACCGTCAATTCCAGGCCGGGGCTGTTTTTGGACTTGTCGATAATCTCCCGCACCGCTGCTTCAGGCAGGATCAGCGGCAAGAGGCCGTTTTTGAAGCAGTTGTTGTAAAAGATGTCGGCAAAGCTGGGGGCGATGACGCACCGGATGCCGAAATCCTCCAGGGCCCAGGGGGCGTGCTCACGCGATGAGCCACAGCCGAAGTTGGGACCGGACACCAGGATTTTGGAATGGCGGAAAGGACTTTGATTCAGGATGAAATCCGGGTTTTCCGAACCGTCTTCCAGGTAGCGATACCGGTCGAACAGGTGCGGGCCGAAACCGACGCGCTCGATGCTCTTGAGATATACGGCGGGGATAATCATATCGGTGTCCACGTTGACCTGGTCGAGGTGGGCAACGACGCCGCTCAGGTTGATAAATGGTTCCATTGTTTGCTTTACAGTCTGGATTTGGACTGCGCGCGTAAAAGGAGGGGGGAAGGGTGTAGGTAGTGGAAAATATCAGGATTGGGAGCTCCGGCTCGCGGTGAGTTATGAAGGGACGACCATTCGCTGGTGGATTTGGGCGGCCATCTTCATGGGTCTTTGCAAATCCGGGTTGCCACCGCGTTTCATCGGGTTCAGACGTAATCTGAAGACACCGCAGGCGAACCCTTGAACTCCCTAACGTCCACGAAGTGGCCGGCTATGGCGGCGCGGCGCATTCGGGGACTTGACGACGTGGGCGGTCACCTTGCCTGGCGGCCTCCTTCGAAGTTGCGATTCGATGTGGAGGCGCAGCGCTGGCCTGGCTCCAGGATGTCCGGGTTCATGCCGAGGCACATGGAGCACCCGGCCACACGCCAGTCGAACCCGGCGTCGATGAACACCTGATCAAGTCCCTCCGCTTCTGCCTGCATCTTGACGCGGGCGGAGCCGGGGACGACCATGGCGTAAACGTCGGCACTGACCTGACGGCCCTTGATGACGCTGGCGGCGGCGCGCAAGTCGTCGATGCGGGCATTGGTGCAGGCTCCCAGGAACACGCGGTCGATTTTGATGTCCTGGATGGCCTGGTTGGCTTCCAGACCCATGTATTCCAGTGCGCGTTCGGCAGCTTCCTGTTCGGCAGTCGAGCCGAAAGACGCCGGGTCGGGCACGCGGTCGGTGACTGGCACCACCATGTCGGGCTTGGTCCCCCAGGTCACGAAAGGCGACAATTCAACTGCCGGGATGATGACCGTCTTGTCGTAGGTGGCGCCCGGGTCGGTGGCGAGGCCGCGCCATTCTTCAATCTTCGCTTCCAGTTCGGCGCCCTTGGGAGCGTAGGGACGCGTGCGGACGTACTCAAATGTGGTTTCATCGGGAGCAATCATGCCGGCGCGGGCGCCGGCCTCGATGCTCATGTTGCACACCGTCATGCGTCCGTCCATCGACAGGCCACGGATGGCTTCGCCGGTGTACTCGATCACGTGGCCGGTGCCGCCGTTGACGCCGATACGCCCGATGATACCGAGTATGACGTCTTTGGCGGACACCCCGCTGGGCAGCGGGCCATCAATGCGGATTTCCATGGTCTGCGGTTTGGTCTGGCGGAGCGTTTGCGTGGCCAGCACGTGTTCAACTTCCGACGTGCCGATGCCGACCGCAAAACAGCCCAGCGCACCGTGAGTGGAGGTATGGCTGTCTCCGCATACTACCGTCTTGCCGGGAAGGGTGTAGCCCAGGTCAGGGCCGATCACGTGGACGATGCCCTGATTCTCACTGAAGCGGTCGTAATAGTAGGGTAAGCCAAACTCGGCGGCGTTGCGATCCAGGGCATCCAGCTGCGCTTTGGAAATCTGGTCTTCGATGGGGCGGGTCAGCTCCCAGGTCGGCGTGTTGTGGTCGGCGGTGGCGACGGTGAGGTCGGGGCGGCGCACCGGACGCCCGGCCAGCCGCAAGCCATCGAATGCCTGCGGGGAGGTAACTTCGTGCACCAGGTGAAGGTCAACGTAGATCAGGGAAGGCTGCCCGGATTCCTCGTGAACCACGTGGGCATCCCAAATTTTTTCGAACATTGTCCTGGCGGCCATGATGCTCCTCCAACGGTTTTAACTGGTTCTAAAAGCTTCGATATTATAGCACTGGAAGCGTGTGGCTCTCTCGCCGGGCGAACTGGGGTTATTTACATGGAAGAACAGGATGAGCAGGATTTGGGCGCTCGCGCGATTGCCGTCGCTTGGGCCCGAGGCAGGTGAGATTTGGGGCTGTGATACACTTTCGACAACATTGCTTTGCCCAGTCTTTTGCGGAGGAAAACCGATGCCGTCAAGCGAAAACGTGACCCTGCCCGAAAACGTCCAACCCGTCCATTATGACCTCACGCTGACGCCGAATTTTGACGATTTTACTTTTGCCGGTGTGGTGGACATTACGGTTCGAATGGAACCAGGCACGACTGAAATCGTCCTGAACTGCGATGAAATAGACATCAACACCGCCACCATCGGCTGGGCAGACGTGGACGGTTCCCACGAGCTGGCGGCGACCGGTATCACCTACAACAAAGACGCCGAGCAGGCGACCATCAGTATTGGGGGCGCACCGGCCAATGGCCTGGTGGGCAATACTCACCTGCGCATGACGTATACCGGCGAGCTGAACGACAAACTGCGGGGGTTCTATCGCAGTCAGTACACCAACCCGGAGGGTGAAACGGCGTACTTGGCCACCACGCAGTTTGAGGCCACCGACGCGCGCCGCGCATTGCCGTGCTGGGACGAGCCCGCAGTCAAGGCTACCTTCAAGGTTACGCTGAACATCCCCGCCGAGATGGAGGCAGTGTCCAACACGCCCATCATTGAGGATAAAGCTGGGCCAACGGAGGGAACCCGGACAGTGGTTTTCGACCAAACGCCTGTTATGTCAACCTACCTGCTGGCCTTCGTTATTGGAGATCTGAGCCACGTGGAGAAGGAGGCCGCCGACGGCACCGTGGTGGCCGTGTGGACGACGCGTGGAAAGGAACGCCAGGGGGATTTTGCGCTGGATACTTCGGTCAAGCTGCTGTCGTTTTTCACGACTATTTCGGTATCCGCTACCCACTGCCCAAGCTTGACCACCTGGCCATTCCAGACTTTGCCGCCGGCGCCATGGAAAACTGGGGCTGCGTTACCTATCGGGAAACCGCGCTGCTGGTGGACGCCGACAACTCATCGGCGGGCACCCGGCAAAGAGTTGCCGAGGTGGTTGCCCACGAGATGGCTCACATGTGGTTTGGCGACCTGGTGACGATGCAGTGGTGGGACGACCTGTGGCTCAACGAGAGTTTTGCCACTTGGGTTGGCACCAAGGCAGTGGATTGGCTGTTCCCCGAGTGGTCCATGTGGACGCAGTTCGTCAACATGGACACCAACCGCGCCTTCAGCCTGGATGGCCTGAAAAACTCCCACCCCATCGAGCAGGAGGTGGCCAACCCGGCGGAGGTAAGTCAGCTGTTCGATGCGATCAGTTACAGCAAGGGCGGTTCGGTGTTGAGGATGCTGGAACACTTTTTGTCAGCCAACACTTTCCGCGTCGGACTGAACATTTATCTGAACCGGCATTCCTACCAGAACGCTCGCACTGTCGACCTGTGGACGGCGCTAGAAGAAGCATCGGGGGAGCCGGTAACTTCAATGATGGGGAGTTGGACGGGCCAGATGGGTTATCCGGTGCTGGATGTGGCCGCCACCCCAACGAGCGGCGGACTTTCGCTGGAAATCAAGCAGGAGCGGTTCGTGTACGATTCGGTGCTGGACGACGGGGGAGCCGACGATGAAGAGCAGGTTTTGGCCCGTTCCGGTAACGGTTGCCGCCGCTGGCGCTGGCATAACGGCTACGCTGATCAGCGCCGCCACCGGTACGATCCAGGTTGCCGCGCCGCAGGAACCCGACTGGTTCAAGGTTAACCCGGACCAGACCGGGTTCTACCGGGTCAATTACACGGATGCGGACTGGGATCGACTGGCGCCCGCAATTGCATCGCAGACGCTGCCGGCCACGGACCGACTCGGCATCCAGAACGACGCCTACGCCCTGTCGCGGGCCGGCCTGCTGCCGGTGACGCGGTTCCTGACGCTGGCGGAAGTCTACCAGCAGGAATCGGACGCGTCGGTGTGGAGTGACCTGGCCACCAACTTGCGGGAGATTGAAAGCCTCATATCGGACGAACCGTACCTGGAATCCTACCGCGCCTTTGGCCGCCAGTTGTTCGGTCCGGCGGCCCGCCGTTCGGGATGGGAAGCCAGGCCCAGCGAGGGCCACCTGGACTCCCTGTTGCGGTCCACGGTGCTGAGCCAGGCTGGTGTGTACGGAGATGAGGAGGTAATCGCGCAGGCTCAGGAGCGGTTCACCGCATACCAGTCGGATCCCGGCAACGTGAGACCCGACCTGCGCGGGGTGGTGTTCAGCCTGGTGGCGCAGTCAGGGGACCGTGCCCTCTACGACCGTATTTGGGAACTGGAACGGGCCGCCGAGTTGCACGAGGAGAAACTCCGGCTGATGATGTCTTTGGCACGCTTCCAGCAGGAGGAACTGCTACGGGAAACGCTGGACCGGTCGTTGACCGACGACGTGCGCCTGCAGGACACAATCTTCGTCGTTTCGGCGGTTGCCGCCAACCATAAGGGGCGCAACCTGGCCTGGGAATTCCTCAAGGAGCAGTGGGACGAGTTCGACCGTCGCTACGGCGGCGGGGGCTTCGGGCTGATGCGCCTGGTGGCCATCACCAATGCCTTCAGCAGCGATGCGATGCGCGACGATGTGGCGGCGTTTTTCGAGGTTCATCCCACGCCGGCCGCCGAGCGCACGATCCGGCAGGCACTGGAGCGTATCCAGCTCAATACGGCGTGGCTGGGGCGAAACCGCGCAGAACTGGCGGCGCGTTTCGGTTAGGAGTTTCGGCTTAAATAGAGTCTTCCGACTTGGAAGACCCTTGCGTTGCCTTGCTGCCGGCGCGGGCGTTGACTCAGAACAGCATTTCGGCAACGGCCGTTGTGCCGGCTTGGGGATTGCCCCGTGGCGTTGCTACTAGCAACCACAGCGCCCGCCCAGTTTTTACTGGGACCGGGGTGCACTCTTCGATAGGTTCAGGATGTGCGTCCTTCGATGGGCTCAGGTTGTGCGGAAGGTGCGGAGTTTGACATCGCCGGGTATTGCGGGTAGCCTTGACTATAAATCGATTGCATAGATGTGTTGTAGATTATGGACGTTTCTGAACGAATAGATGCACTGAAATCGTTAATTGCTGACCGTATTCTGATAATAGACGGCGCAATGGGTACGCAAATTCAGGCGCGCAACCTCGGGCCGGAAGATTTTGGCGGCGAGGAATACGAAGGGTGCAACGAGTACCTGAATATCACGCGCCCCGACATCATCGCCAACATCCACCAGGCGTATCTGGAGGCTGGCGCCGATATTCTCGAAACCAATACTTTTGGCGCCACGGCGCTGGTGCTGGGGGAGTATGGACTGGCCGAACACTCCCGGCGCATCAACCGGGAGGCTGCATTGATCGCGCGCAAAGTCAGCGATGAAATGGCCGAACGGCAGCCGGGGCGAAGGACTTTTGTGGCGGGGGCGATGGGGCCCACGACGCGCACCATCTCGGTAACCGGCGGGCTGACCTTTGACGAACTGGCCGCCGATTACCACCAACAGGCGGCGGGCCTGATTGAAGGCGGCGTTGACATGGTGATGCTGGAAACCAGCCAGGACACCATCAACGTAAAAGCCGGACTGGAAGGGATCGACCGGGCGTTTGACGAGTTGGGCTTTACCACACCGGTTGCCGTACAGGGCACCGTGGAACCGATGGGGACGCTCCTGGCGGGGCAAGACGCGGAGGCGCTTTACACGTCGCTGGCCCACCGGGATTTGCTGTGGGTAGGTTTCAACTGCGCCACTGGCCCCGAGTTTATGACCGACCACGTGCGCACGCTCTCGGGGTTGTCGCAGACCAACATCGCCTGCGTGCCCAACGCCGGGCTGCCCGACGAGGACGGCAACTATAACGAATCTCCGGAGATGCTGGCGGCCACGCTGGGCCGTTTCGCCGAAAACGGCTGGCTGAACGTCGCTGGCGGGTGTTGCGGCACCGGCCCCGACCACATCCGTCAGATTGCAGCGGCAATGAACGGCAAACCGCCACGAGATGCCAAACCGCCGCTGGCGTCGCGTGTATCCGGTATTGAGGCGGTGCTCATCGACCCGGACAGTCGCCCGACGATTATCGGCGAGCGCACCAATGTGCTGGGGAGCCGCCGCTTCAAGCGGTTGATCAGTGGCGATCGTTTTGAGGAGGCCGCCGAAGTTGGCCGCCGCCAGGTTCGCAACGGCGCCCACATTCTGGATGTGTGTCTCCAGGACCCGGACCGGGACGAAATGTCGGACGTCATCAAGTTTCTTGACCAGCTCAACCGGCGGGTCAAAGCGCCGATCATGATTGACTCTACGGATGCGGACGTCATCGAAGAATCGCTGAAACGGCTGCAGGGCAAGTCAATCATCAACTCCATCAACCTCGAGGATGGCGAGGAGCGGTATCAGCGCGTGGTGCCATTGGCCCGCCGCTACGGCGCCGCGCTGGTGGTGGGTTGCATTGACGATGATCCCAACCAGGCACAGGCGATCACGCGGGAGCGCAAGGTGGAAATCGCCCAACGCTCGCACCAGCTATTGACCGAAAAGTACGGTGTGGCTGAGCAGGATATTATTTTCGACCCGCTGGTGTTTCCCGCTGGAACGGGCGATGTGAATTACGTTGGATCCGCCGCCGAAACCATCGAGGGAGTGCGGCTCATCAAAGCGGCGCTGCCGAACACGAAAACCGTCCTGGGTATTTCCAACGTTTCGTTTGGCCTGCCTGTCGCGGGGCGGGAGGTGTTCAACTCGGTATTCCTGTACCACTGCGTGCAAGCGGGGCTGGACATGGCAATCGTCAACTCGGAGTTGATGCAGCGCTACACCACGATACCCGAAGCAGAACGCAAGTTGTCGGAAGACCTCATCTGGAACCGGGGAGATGATCCGGTGGCCGCTTTCGCCGCGCATTTCCGCGACCGGGCTCCCCGTTCGACCATCGAAGAGCGGTCGGCCCTGCCGCTGGACGAACGCCTGGCCAACTGCATTATCGAGGGCAGCAAGGAGGGTTTGGCGGACGACCTGGACCTGGCGATGCTGGAACGGGTGCCGCTGGACATTATCAACGGGCCGCTGATGGCCGGCATGGACGAGGTGGGTCGGCAGTTCAACGCTAACCAGCTGATCGTGGCCGAGGTTTTACAAAGCGCCGAAGCGATGAAATTTGCCGTGTCTCACCTGGAACCGCATATGGAGCGCTCGGACGCAGCCGTTCGCGGACGGATTTTGCTGGCGACCGTGAAGGGCGACGTGCATGACATTGGCAAGAATCTCGTCGAAATCATCATGTCCAACAACGGTTACCACGTGGTGAACCTGGGCATCAAGGTGCCACCGCAGGATCTGATCGCCGGCTACCGCGAGCACCTGCCGGACATTATCGGTTTGTCGGGTTTGCTCGTGAAATCGGCGCAGATGATGTTGGAGACGGTGCAGGATTTCCGGGTTGCCGGAATCAGGGCGCCGGTGATGGTTGGCGGGGCCGCGCTGTCGAATCGGTTCACTCGCCTGCGCATTGCTCCGGAATATGACGGATTGGTGGCTTACGCGCCGGACGCAATGACCGGCTTGGCGTTGGCCAACCTGATTCAGGATGCTGACGAACGAGAGCGAATGGCCGCCCGTCTGGAAACCGAAACCGTAGAATTGGCCGCGGAACTTGCCGCCCGGAGCCAGTAATCTGATGACATCCGTTGGACGTACCACTTCAATTACCCCGCTGGAATCATCGCCGCAGCCGCCTGATTTACGCCTGCACGTCGTGCACGACCACGATCTAGACGAGATTTTCGGTTACATCAATCCGCAAATGCTGTACGTGCGCCACCTGGGTTATCGAGGCCGATTCACCGAAGCGTTGGCGGACGGCGAACCGAAGGCGCTGGAACTGCGACGCCAGGTGCAGCGGGTGGAAGATATTGCGCTGGCTCGCGCCGACATTTCCGCCGGGGCGGTGTTCAAGTTTTTCCCCTGCCGGTCCGACGGGCAATGGCTGATCATATACTCGCCAGACGGTTCCGAGGAGCTGGAGCGGTTCTATTTCGGGCGGCAAGCGGAACGCGAGGGCTTGTGCCTGTCCGACTACGCGCGACCCGTAGGCGATGGACCCGACGATTACGTGGCAATGTTTGTTACCACCGTGGGGCCGGGCGTGCGGCAGCTGTCGGAAAAATGGAAGAGTGACGGCCGGTATCTGGATTCCCATACCCTGCAGGCGCTGGCAATTGAATCGGCGGAGGGTTTTGCCGAACTGCTGCACAAACGCATTCGCAACATGTGGAACATCGGCGAAGGGTCTGGCATGAGGGTGGCCGATGAAAACGAAAAACGAGATTTGTTCCGGGCAAAGTATCGCGGCAAACGGTTTTCCTTTGGCTACCCGGCGTGTCCCCGACTGGAAGACCAGGAGAAATTGTTCGACCTGCTGGACGCAACGGCGAGCATCGGTGTGGAGCTCACCGATGGTTACATGATGGATCCGGAGGGGTCGGTTTCAGCGCTGGTGTTTCACCATCCAGAGGCGAAGTACTTCAACCTGGATGAAGCTGACATCGAGCGGCTGGAAGCTGAAATCGAGCAGTTTGAGCGAAGTCGATAGACTCCAATAACGATTGCGGCATTGAACGAACCAGTAAGCCCCTGGCCTACTGGTTATTTCTTGGCCGGGGGACAGGCTTCTCCCCGAGGTTGTGGCAGTGGGCGCGGGGATTGCGGATCGATCCGCAATACAACCCGGTTCAATCGGGTGCCAGCATCACCGAAATTTTCGAGACGCTGCAAAGCGGAATCCTCCGTACGTTCGACGGTATGGGCGAACGGTAAAGGCGCGGGTGGGGTTGCCAAGTCGCCACGCTCCTGGCGTTGGCAAGGCATGGCGAGCTTGCCACGCCGCCACGCTCCCAGCGTTGGCAGGGGGGCTGGGACTGGTTTACAAGTCCAGGGCGTCGGCTAGGCGGCGGCGGTGGAATTTGGGGTCGCCAAGGAACTGATAGAGCGTCCGCGATGCAGTAGTGTGCAGGGTGAGGCCGTACTCGGTGGTGCTGCCGACGCCAGCGTGTACCTCGTGGGCATGGTTGCAGGCGTTGTAATAGGCGACGCTGCTAACTGCTTTGGCCAGGTGGATGCTATCCGCAGCGGCGCGCTCGGAATCCAGCTTCCACAGGGCTTCGTAGGTGGTCCAGCGGGCGGCGTCCAGCTCGTTGACCAGGTTAATGATGTGGTCTTGCACTCGCTGGAAGCGTCCGATGGGAGTACCGAACTGGATCCTGGTGCGGCTGTATTCCACCGACATTTCGTACACCTGCTGCGACCCGCCCACCTGATAGGCGCAGAGCAGCGGGATGGCGCTGCCGACCGCGCGCTCCAGCGCCGACCATCCACCGTCGAATTGACCACCCAGGACGGCGGATTGGGCGACCTGGACACCGTCCAGGCGGACTTCCGACAGGTTCCACGCAAAGCCTTCCAGCTTTCGGATTGACACGCCGGGAGCGCCAGCCGGCACCATCACCAGTCCGACGTCCTGCCGGTTCTCGGTGCGAACGGCACAAATCAGGTCGGTGGTCGCGGCGGCGTCATAGACATACACCTTGCTGCCCGTGATGCGGTATCCGTCGCCGTCGGTAGAGGCAATCGCCTGCACTTCACCCTCGTCCCACTGGTAGTCGGCTTCGGTGACGGCCAGGGAAATCGTACGTCGACCAGCGGCAACATCGGGGAGAATCGAGTGTTTTTGCGCCTCGGTACCGGCTTCCAGAATGGCCAGCGCGCCCAGAACGGCGCTGCTGAAATGCGGCCCTGGCACCGGCCCACGTCCCAACTCTTCAAACAGGACGCCGGCATCCGTGTACGAACCGCCCTCGCCGCCGTATTCGGTGGGAATGATGATGCCCAGCCAACCAGTAGCAGCCAACTTCGACCAGGGTTCGGATGGAGCGGTTTGTCCGGTGGCGGACATCTCCAGCAGAACGTCTTTGGGGTACTCGGTATCGACGAACCGGCGCACCGCCGTTTTCAGCATTTCCTGTTCTTCGGTGAGGGACAAATCCATCGTTTATGGCTCCTGCGCCCGGACGAATATCGCAGCGCAAAGTGGTGAGTCGGTTCAGCGGAAATAATCGGGGTCAGGCCAATGCTCCGGCGCGCTCCCGTTGCTGGCGACCGATGCCGATACGCCGGGCCATGATGACTTTCTGGATGTCGGTGGTGCCGCCGGGGTGAAGAGCAATGATGGCAGCGCGCTGGTGAGCTTCGAAGTGTCCCTCGCCGGCGCCCCACTTATCGTCTTTGGTGAGAGCGGCCGGCCCTATGATGTCCAGGATTCCAGTGGCCACCCGGAGGCCCGACTGCTTGCGGAAGTAGGAGGCCTGCGGCCCTTCGTAGGTAACGTTGGCGCCGCTGTGGCGCATCCAATAGTTACGCAGCTGGAACAGGCGGCCAATCTCGGCGTCGATGTAAATGTCGACCAACCGCTCGCGCACGTCGGGGTCCTTGCTCAGCGGCTGACCGCGGCGATTGTTGGTCTTGCAGTAGTCGAAGATGCGGTCGACGATCCAGTTGCGGCCGATTTTGCCGCCGGTGCCGTGCTCCAGTTCGAGGTGGGTGGTGGCGACTTTCCAGCCTTCATTCTCGCCGCCGATGAGGTTCCGGGCCGGCACGCGCACGTTGTCGAAGTAAACGATGTTCTTGACACCGGAACCGGCGCCGGATTCGCCGGCAGACGACAGCAGGTCCATGGGGAACACGCTGATGCCGGGCAGGTTGGATGGAACCATGAACCAGCTGAGGTTGTGGTGGCGTTCGCCTTCCTGATCGGTGCAGGTGATGGTCCACATATAGTCGGAGCCGTGGGCGCTGCCGACGTAAACCTTCTGCCCGTTGATAATATAGTCGTCACCATCGCGACGGGCGGCGGTTTTGGCGTTGGCCAGGTCGGAGCCGGCCTCGGGCTCGGTCAGCAGCTGCCAGGTGCGGATTTCGCCCTTGAATATCTTGGGCAGAAATTCCTGCTTCTGCTCCTCGGAACCCCATACCAGGATGGAATTCCCGCCGAGGCGTCCGCCGGAGTCGTAGTAGGGAGGCAGCGAGAGGTTGTGACCGTCGATTTCCTCCTCCAGGACAACCGAGTGGTCGACGGTCAGGCCGCCGCCGCCGTATTCCCGAGGAGCGGTGGGCCAGAGCCAACCCTGGTCGCCGAGTCGCCGGCCCAATTCACGGCGCAGTTGGTACTGCTCGTAGGTCAGGTCGATTGAGTCAGCGGGGTGCTGGATGCCGCCGGGAATGTTCTCAGTAAGCCAGGATTGCACTTCGGTGCGAAAGGCTTCCTGTTCAGCGGTATAGGTGGGTTCAAAGTCCATGCTAATCCTCCGGCGCCGACGGGCCGGCCGGCTTCAGATACTACGGGTTGAGTGGGCTGATCAGGGTTCAGAGCGCAATTATGCCCTATGTACCCAACCACGGCAACCGGAGGGCATTCACTGGCAGGGCAATCGCATTATAAATTCCGCTTGCGTTCATCCGGCGCAATCAGGAACCCAGAAAGCACGATTGAGTCGGATTTCGGACGACCTCAAATCCTTTCGGATACTGGATTCCCTAAGTTCACAAACGAAGTGCAACACCTTGTTAGGGTGTTGCCATGGGACGAAACTATAAACAGATCACGCTTGCAGAACGGTGCCAAATTACCCAGCTACACGCCGCCGGGTGCAAGATCCGGGAAATCGCGGCAGCTCTGGATCGCGCGCCATCAACGATCTCTCGGGAGTTGAAGCGCAACGGGTCGCGGACCAAGGGCTATGAGCCCAGCTATGCCCAGCAGCAAGCGCGGGCCCGGCGCTGGAGTGGTTCCCGGTTAGAGCGGGATCAGGGGCTGCGGGAGGCGGTACTTTCCCGCCTGGCCCAGGGCTGGTCGCCAGAGCAGGTGTCGGGTCGATTGGCCCGGGAAGCGGGTCACCGGGTGATCTCCCAGGAGAGCATCTACCGGTTCATCTACGCCCAACTGGCCCGTACCAAGGACTATCGCTGGCGACACTACCTACCACGGGCCAAGTCCAAACGGGGCTACGAGAGTCGGCGGGGCGGGAGAGCCCCTGAAAAAGAAACCAGGGGTTAGGTATAGGGGTTTTTACGTGGGACATGGACCCGAGCTCACATT